TTCATATATTGGAAGTCGATAATCACTATTTTGTTTTCTCAAATCAGATTTTGGTATATCGAATGATATTTCGATTTCACAGTATGTTCTTGATTAATATAATATGCACATTATCGATATAATATCTCCTACATATTTTTATTTTGAGGGACTCTTCAGTAGAAGATGTTTCTCAAACTTGTAACATCCCGCTAAAAACAAGAAGGTAAATAGTCTTTGTTGTTGCAAATCCTTCTCCCTATGCTGAACCTAGCCTCTTTTTTGTTTTGTTTTCATCGTGACATGAAAATATAAAGAAGGATTTGAAACATGTATCAAACCATGATAAAGTTCTTCACTTGCATCGAATTAAACTACATGCTCCATTTTAATATTTGAAACTCAATTTCTCTTTAAGGATCTTCAAGACTTAGCAATATTGAAATAAAAGTATGTTGAAAGAAACTTGATCTCTGTGTAGATATATCATCATTTTTTTTTTCTATCTTGTTCTTGAATGTTGACAATAGAAATTAGATCAACAAATCATCTCACCTAATCAGGATTTTCACCTCCAAATTTCACTAATTTTGATGCTAAAATCGGAGCTAGAGATGAAATCGTATTGGGAGGGAGACATTTGAATTACATGCATTTCTGCTCAAGTGATGGGGTATTAAGATTTCTCTCCAAATTTTGGGATAATTCGATCATTTTGAGAAAATCTTATAACTGATTCAATTAAAAATCATACTATATTTTATTGGCCCACGTGCCTTGTCAGTTTGGAGACACCCTAGATGGAGATGGAGGTTCGCCTACTTGTAGCGCACTTCTTAGGCCTTTGTTCCCTTTGCGTGCTGCATTCACTTCGTTAGACGAGGCAAAGTTCACGGAGTGCATTCCTTGGTTTAACAATGAACGAAATCAAGACTATAACAATCCATTTTACAAAATCGACATAATTGCTTTGCCTCCACGACAACTTGCAATACTTTTGTTATAACTCGTAAGCTTTACTCTTTCACAGACATGCAAATCTCGCGAGGATAAATTTTATGTCACTTCTGCTACAAGTCATCTAAAGCTAGGGGAAAAAAAATGCTCCTTAATATTCTATAGATTTCCCTTTGCATGATCACCGAAGTTATGTTCAACTTTCCTCTTGTTAAGACCTAAGTCGACACTATTCGATTCGGTTAACAAAGAAGTCCTGTTGCTAATAAATTTGCATGTTGTCAAGTCCGGTTAATTACTATGTCTAATAGAAGATTCACTTGTTTGGTTTGGATTAAAATTTCAAGTTAAAGTTAACAATTAATTTTAACCACACATTTAATGGGACTCGCAACTTTTCAATCACACGTTTCATCAACTTTCATCAAAATCTACTAAAAAATTGATTTAAATCTCTACCAAACGGGGACTTCATGTAATTAGTTCTTTCACAACTACGACAAGCAATGATAAGATACAGAAACAAAGATGAGACAATAACTATAATATAAGTAAATAACAAATGACGATTCTAAACTTGTTCTATATTGGTTTCGTGTGGAGCCGAGGGAGATGCGGACAGTGGGGTCCCAAACCTCCACTGAAATTTGGGTTTTCTTCCTTTTTTCGGAAAATAAGAATTTAGCCGTGCACATCTTGAAGGTAAGAATGTATTTTTACTGTTGATGTGATGGGGAATATGTGGTTGAAAAGGAAGGAAAAGTTATTGATGTGATGAAAAATATTATTTTATTAAAAATGTATGGTTGAAAATGAGTAGATGAATGAGAATGAAAAAAAAATAATGTGGACCAAACATGGCTATTTAAAAAAATGAAGTAAGGTAGATTAGTCTTTGTTAAAGACTAAAGATTAAGATAATATATTATTTTTAAAGTACTAATACCCAATCAGAAGCAATGCATATATACCCATTTGTCTAAAAAGAAAAAAGTGAAAAAAGGAGAAATTAAAGAAACCTAAATTAATCCTCGATGATTTACTAGAATTTCTCCTCTACAAAAGATTTGTTCTTTAAATCTCGACACAAGTTCAGATCATTCCAGCAGCACAAGTGCACAACTGTGCTTTGCAAATCATCTCCTCGACTCCTCCGAATACCCTGAAAATGTTCATATCCACATTTCTTTTCTCCATTATTGTCAGCATATTCCTGTTTCTCACTAGCACAAGTACAGTTTTTTTCTCTACCTTCCTGTCTAAATACCATGAAGAAAAGAAGTTGTTTTAAGTTTTCTTGTGTGCATATTTTCTTGCTTAATCGAAAGATAGAATTGTTTTAATTCTTTTATCTTCATGTTTTTAATTTGCAGGTGGGATTGGTCAGCAACTCATATTGGTGAACAACTGTAAGGAGAGTATATGGCCAGGAATACAAGGCGGGGCAGGAATGCAAACCCTGAAAGATGGTGGATTTCAACTGACTAGCGGTCAGGAAGTAGTCATTGACGTGCCACAGAAATGGTCAGGAAGAGTATGGGGAAGACAAAATTGCAACTTCAATGCATATGGAAAAGGCTCGTGTGCCACCGGAGACTGTAGTGGACAACTACACTGCCAGGGATTAGGCGGCGTGCCACCTGCAACAGTGGTGGAAATGACACTAGGGACATCAACTTCACCACTACATTTTTATGATGTCAGTTTAGTTGATGGCTTCAATTTGCCTGTATCAATGAAGCCTGTCGGGGGAGGAATTGGGTGTGGTGTGGCTTCATGTGAAGTTGATTTGAACATATGTTGTCCATCGGCACTGGAGGTTAAGGCAGGAGACAAGGTGATTGGGTGCAAGAGTGCGTGCTTGGCCATGCAATCGGCCAAGTACTGTTGCACGGGAGAGTATTCGAATCCTAAAACCTGCAAACCAACTCTGTTTGCAAATCTGTTCAAAGCTATTTGTCCAAAAGCATATAGTTATGCATTTGATGATTCTTCAAGCCTTAATAAATGCAGAGCTTCGCGATATGTCATCACTTTCTGCCCTCCAAAATGAGTGTCACAAGAAGAAGTAAAATTTTTTAAGGCTGTTGCATAAAGTTCTATTAGAGGATTGAGATATCAGTGGTTAAGTGGTTCAAAAATGTTCAATCAGCTGAAGCTTTTTTACGTTGTAACATGTGTTTTACTTCTGTAAGAGAACTGAATGGTCGATTAACAATACTTGACGCTCTCAACTACAAAGAATATGGTTTGAAACTGGGAAAAACATGAAGAAACTCGAGCAATAACAAATCGAAGTGAAACCAAAAGAATGTCATATATACTCGAAACATTTACTCTACATATCTGAATACTAAGATACTAACCTGATATACAGCATTTGAACTGCACCATCACCCTTTCCAGAGCATGTTATCTGATCGTGAATTTGGACTTGCTTCCCGTCGGAACACTGAAAAATTTATCATACATTAAACGAACTACCCATTTATCAAGCACGTGTGAGTAGGAATAAGATAACCAAACAAGAAGCATATTACAACTCAGTCCGTCGCTAAAATATAGAATAGTTTCGTCACCGGTAAATGATTGAAAATTATAAAAAGCAAGACGTGTTCAAAACTAAAAGAGGAACCAAAATATGGCAGTAACAAAACTTGCTACTTGACATCAGAAAATTCAATTTAAAAGAAAATCTAATGATTCTCATACCATTCACGAAAATAAGGGACATAATTTGTATTTGCAGGAGAAAGAAAAGACTTCCATTTGTGATTTTGTTTGTAAGACAAATATAGAAGATTTCCAAAATACATTTAAGACAAAAAAAGAAAAGCGAAACTGAGCAAACAAATTTCTCGATTCAACTACCACTCCAATTACAGCATTAGGAAGCATTATTAGCTGGGGATCCAAAACATAATAATATTGGTTTTCCATCTTCTCATAACTAAGGTTTTGTATCACGATTCTGGTTAGCAGCCCAAGCTCACACTGGTGGTTCAAAATGCTTGATGGCAACATCTGGTGGAAGTGCATCTTCTCCTGGGAGGGCAAGAATCTCCTCACAAAAGGCTGATGGTTCATTATAACAGGCACTCCAAAGAGAGTCCACAAGCTGTCTTTCCTCTTTGCTCCGTTCTTGTAAAATTTGCTTCAGTCTCCCATCTTCTTCATTTGGGATACCGTAAGGCTTTCCCTGCCTGTCTTGAGCTATGTCAAGGAGGACTTGAAGTGAAGCTCCACGTACATCAGCATCTTCACTTGATGCAAGGTGAGTCAATATATGAGGGAATCCTAGCTCATTCACTATAGTGCAGTCTGAATGATTCTCGTTTAATAAATAATGGATCAAGTCAGGCGCTTTCCTGAAAATTATCAGGTGTGTGAGAATAATAATGCAAATAATTTGAAACTGAAGAATTATTGTGATTTACAAATGATACAGATAAACAAAATCATGCATCAATCTTAGAGTTTCTTGAAATTGCTTATCTGTAGCAGATTTTAGCTCTAGCTTTTAAAATACACAAGAATGAAAGTTTGGTTTGGGTTCTTATAGCTTACTACGTCTTAATGCAAGCACAGAAAAGATAATTTCAGTCTCATCTGACATTTGACATCAGGCTATTTTCTTTCCAATTAGAAGCAGAAGATGGCCAAGGCCAAGAAGCTGAAAGGGAAAACTTGGCAAATGACTTAAAGAGCTACAATAATAACAAAACAAAAAGATATTATATCTCAAGACTGAGAGAAATACCTTTGAAATCTCACATCCTCAAAGCTGAAGGCATCTCTAGAGCTGCATAACCATTTGCAAAGCGAAATGCAGAAATTCTAGGATTGTTATGTCTTATTAGAGCTGAAAGTACCAAAAAAATAAAAAAATAATTTAGCAGGATTACTAGACTATGATAAAGAATGCAAGAAGTCAAAGCACCATTCTATACAAATATGCTACTGTTACCTAAATTTTATTTTGAGTTTCAAAGGTTGCCCTAGTGGACCATTCCATCGAAAGGAAAATTTACAGGTCCTTTCCGTAGTATGCAAATTAGTGAAGCCATTGACACAGAAATTTCTTCACAAAACATAGCACATAAATCTTGCTATCTATGTGGTCACCACTCACCAACATCCATTAAGTTGGATACAAGTTCTACTCTGGTCTTTATTTGCAAGAATATAAAGCTGTCACACAGAATCCATGTTTTAGATTCAAGCTAAGTGTCGTCAAGTGCTTCAAGTACAACTCATCAACCGATGACTAATGAAAATTACTCATAGCCATCTCTGAGAGAAGTGCAGCTCATTACTCAGCTTTAGTTATATATCAGCCGATGACCTCAAAAGGGGAAAAAAAAAAAGTCCCAGACCCATAGTTTTTAATCTTCTAAAGGAAAGGAAGTAAAGCTGAATGCATTAATCCTGATAGCGCCATTTTCTCTCTTTGTCAAGAAAATCCTGCCTACAAATTACCCAAGGATAAAATGAAAAAGGAAAGGTGAACAGAATATTCAATTGAAACCCTATGTTTGTGGTGGTATACTTACTCCCTAAAACTCTAGAGAGAACTAATAAAATCCTAAATACTCTTTATTCCTCCATACAAATTGCGAAAAATAACCGAGAAACAGACTATGCACAAAATAAACTCACCATTAGCCATATCAATGGACTCCATATGCTCTTGTAGCTCATCCAACATACCTGCACTCACAAGTCACAAGAATCAGTAAAAACCCGATCTTCGAACAACTGACAAATAATTCACACAAATAAAGACGAAAACATAAATTTTTATTTATAAATACCTTCTATATCCTGAGGAGTTACGCCCTGAGACTCCAAAACCTACTCTGTGTCTGCATAACAAGAGTTATCTCTTTCATTCTTTTAACAACATCAACAGTATGCGATTGCATTGCCTCCAATCCATGAACCATTTCCTATCCTCCTCACTAAACCCACAAAAATAATAATAAAAACTACATTAACTTGGTTCACATCAAACAATAATTCGAAATCCCAAAAGAAAAACAAAAGTCTTCGTTTGAAATATACTTTGAAGAAATCGAGGATCGAAGAAGAAACTCCCTTTTATTTTATTGAATCTTAATCAAAATGAAACACGACCCACACTATAAATGCACCAGACGAAACAAANTATATATGTACCAGTCGAAACAAACATAACGCTTACAGCTGATTTGCATTCAAGGTAACAAACTATCATACAGACACATAGGATATAAAGAATAATTGCACGTAAGGTCCTGAGGAAAATAAAATGTGAATATTCACTTATTCAGTACTAAAATTCTATATCCCTCCCTCAAGTGGGACATTGATGGAAGTCCATCAGTGCCAACTTGGACACTAAGAAGCGAAACTGCGGAGCAGGGAGGGATTTGGCGAAAACATCGACAATCTGATCGTTAGTGGAAACATGATAAGGAAGAACAAAACCCAGCTTGAACTGATTGCGAACAATGTGACAATCGATATCAAGATGTTTAGTCCTCTCATGAAAAAGGGGATTGGCACAAATGTGAAGTGCTTGCCGAGTTGTCGCACCATAGAAGAATTGGGAGAGGAACATAAATGTGAAAATCTTGTAGAATGTAATGAATCCACTATAACTCACAAACCGTTGTTCCCAAACTTCTGTACTCTGCCTCAGCCGAACTCCTGGAAACTGTGGTCTGTTTTTTAGTCTTCCAAGAAACTAAAGCTCCTCTAAAGAAGATGCAATAACCTATTAAAGATCGTCGAGTGTCAGCGCAAGTTGCCCAATCCGCGTCGCTGAAAGCTTCCAAAGCAATATTGTTAGTGACGGGAAAGAATAAATCCTTTGACATAGCACCCTTAATATACCGTAAAATATGTAATGCTGAATTCCAATGAGCGATAGAAGGATTCTGCACAAACTGACTTAATTGTTGAACACCAAAGGTAATGTCTGGTCTGGTAAGAGTGAGATAAAGTAGACGGCCAACAAGTCTCCTAAATTGCTCAGGATCAAAGTGAGGTTCCTGGTCAGAAGCAAAAAACTTTTGGCCCTTAGGTAATGGTGTAGAAGCACTCTTTGCACCCGAAAGACCAACATCAGTGATAAGGTCAAAAGCATACTTCCTTTGATTTAAGTATGTTCCTTCTGAGGACCTTGCAATTTCAATACCAAGAAATCCTTGGCATAGTTCAAATCCTTGATAGTGAAAACCTTGTGCAAAGATTCCTTAACTCGATTGATCTCCAACTCATCAGTTCCAGTAAGAAGCAAATCGTCAACATAAACAAACAGAGCAATGAAGGAAGAAAAATTATGTAGAGCAAACAAGCAATGATCATGTTGGGATTGTTGAAACCCAAATGCAATAAGATGTTTACATAATTCAGAATTCTATTGTCTGCTAAACCATATAAGGATTTTTTTAGCTTACAAACCTGTCCCACAGCCGCTTTTTCATAGCCTTGAGGTGGCCACACATACACCTCTTCATCTAACACACCATGCAAGAATGCATTGTTAATATCAAGTTGACAAATAGGCCACTGTTTTGCAGTAGCAATGGCAATGAATAATTGAATAGTCACAGGTTTTGCTACTGGAGAAAAACTCTCAAAAAATCAATCCCAGGGACTTGATTAAAACCCTTCGCAACTAACCGTGCTTTACATCTATCCAAGGTGCCATCAGCCTTAAGATTTGCTTTAAAAACCCACTTACAACCTATTGGTTTCTTACCAGATGGCAAGGAAGTCAATTCCCAAGTTGCATTTTTCTCCAAGGCGTCAAGTTCTGCCCTCATAACTTCTGTCCATTCTTTCCTTGTGCTTGCATCCCTGTATAAAGTTGGCTCTTGGATAGTGGTAATGTTAGCCAAATAATCAATATATGCAAGATTAAATTTGAGTGAAGTATAGTAGGGAAAAGTATGAGGGGTGAAGGATGATGAAGTTGGAACAAAAGGTTGGGAAGATGTGATGGGAATGTGATTAGTGTGGCTAAGATTGGACACAAAATCTTTCATCCATCTAGGGGTCATTTTTGTTCTGGTGCTCTTCTTGATGCAAGGTGGATTATGAGTAGAATTATTAGATGGTAGTGTGTCTGGAAGAGGTGAAGAACCGTTGCTGAGATCATCAGTGGCAGCAGGCAGACTAGCAGGAAGGTCAGAATCTTCATCAGTATTGGTTTCTGACCTGTTTTGATCAAACACTGGAATAGGGATAGGTGAATTTTGGTCAAGGATGGAGTTGTCTTTGTAGGGAAAAATATTCTCATGAAAAATAACATCTTGAGAGATATATGTCTGCCTTTTTTTCAAGATCATAGACTTTAAAACCTTTTTTACCATGACTATAACCTATCATGATACACTTAAAACTTCTAGGAGAAAACTTATCCTTGAAAGTTTGAGAGTTAGTGGCATAGCAGAGGCACCCAAACACCTTGAGGTTATTATATGAAGGAATTTTGTTGTGGAGGATCTGAAAGGGTGTTTTCTAGTTAAGAATTTGTGTAGGTAACCGGTTAATAATGTAAGTAGCCATTAAAATAGACTCTCCCCAAAACAATTTAGGCATATTAGCTTGAAACATAAGAGCTCTTGCAACTTGCAAGAGGTGTCTGTGCTTCCTCTCAACCACACCATTTTATTACGGTAATTGTCACTCTGAGGATTGACAGAATTACAAATGGATGCTTTGAATTTATTTAGAATTGATGAAGTAAAAGAGGTCCGGTCCAGAACATAGAGATTTCTGACTAGTCTACCAACTGCCTTGATTTCTTCAGTCTGATGGTCCTGTAAAAGGCAGTAGCTATCGAAAAAAATGAGTTTCATCTTTAAAATTCTCGTTAATTTGCTGACAGACAACAAATTAAACTTGAAGGTTGGGATATGTAAAACATCTTTCAGAGTGATGGCAGGATGAATTTGAATATCTCCAGTGTGCTGAACAAAATTGATAGATGAATCAGGAAGATATACAGGAATGGCTGAAATGCATTGCTTAGGTTTCTTTAAAAACTTTAGGTTGTTGCACATATGATTAGATGCCCCTGTGTCTAATATCCAAGAACCTACTTCTAACAGGTTTGAAGCATTGAAAGTAAAAATAGCATCAGGTGTGAGCACAGAACCTGAAAGGTCATCAAGATGAGCAAAATTAATCATGTCACCTCCAGTGCTTCCTTTCATCATTTTTACCAATTCCTGTTGGATCATCTCTGACAAATTGAATTTTTGAAGCTTATGTTTCACCTCCTGATCAGTTTCAAATAGTGTATCGGCCACGTTTGCTGAATACTTCACAGTTCCAGATCTGTTTTGATTCCTTAACTGCTTGAACCAATTCGGATAGCCTATAATTTTGAAATATCCATCCTTGTTGTGACCATTGATCTTGCAATGAGTACAATATAACAATTGTTTATCCCTTTTTATCATTTCATAACTCTTTCTTCCCATAGGTCTGACTCCATGATCCTTCTTCAAGTTATTTGCCTTAGAAAACATGGCACTCATTTCAGTTTCATTACCAAAGGCTATGTGTACCTCTTTCTGTTTCTCAATTCTCTGGATCATAGCATAGGCCTTGTCAACAGCAGGTAAGGGCTCCATAACCAAAATATGGCTTCGAACTTGTTCGTATTCCTCATTTAATCCCATCAGAAATTGCATCAGCCTACTAAATGAAGTTATATCTGATACTGCCTTAGCTGAGCCACAGGTACATTCAGGTAATGGCATAAGATATGTCAATTCATCCCATAGACCTTTCAATTTTGTTTAGTACTGAGATATTGATTGATTACCCTGTGTTATCGAACAAATTTCCCTCTGTATCTGGTATAACTGTGGACCATTGCAACCACCGAACCTCTCTTCCAATTCACTCCAGAGCTCCTTGGCAGAATTAGTGTACAAAAAGGCATCAACAATGTCTTTTGAAATAGAATTTAAGATCCACGAAGTTATCATGCAATTGACTCTATCCCATTTTACAAATTGAGGTGAATTCTTAGCTGGAGTTTCAATTGTTCCGTCAATGAACCCTAACTTCATTTTAGCACCAAGTGCAATTCTAACCGATCTACTCCAAGCCACAAAGTTCTTCCCCGTAAGTGGCACAGTAACAAGTGACATACCAGAATGATCTGAGTTACCTAGCTGAAGTGAATCTCCTTCATCAGCTTCGCCACGACCTCCATTAGTTCGTGAATTAGTATTTTCTAATTCGTTATCCATCAGAAAAAAAAAATTTTAATCACTAGTGATCACTGTGTATCAAATCCTATCTTCAGGATCTTCCCGCTCTGATACCATGAAGAAATCGAGGATTGAAGAAGAAACTCCCTTGTATTTTATTGAATCTTAATCAAAATGAAACACAACCCACAGTATAAATGCACCAGGCAAAACAAACATAACAGACGCTTACAACTGATTTGCAATCAAGGTAACAAACTATCAAACAGACACAAAGAAGGACATAAAGAATAATTACACATAAGGTCCTAAGGAAAATAAAATGCGAACATTCAGTACTAAAATTCTATATACTTTCTTTTCACAACCCACCAAAACATAATTTTCTAGCATATAGATATGAAACCAAATATTGTAAATTTGCAATACCGTCGTTTAGAGGAAGAACCGGTGTAATGAAATTAAGGCTAACATATTTTTGAATTTTCTCAAGTATTTATATGTTTCGTTGGGAATGTAGTCGAGGAGTTACAAGAAAGAAAAGCTTGAAGAATCTGGCATTATATGAATGACCTATGCAAAGTCAAAGATGGGACGTGGACTTGATCGGGACATGGTTCTCTTTGCATGAATCAATGATTTTTTTAATAATAGAACAAAGTATTTATTCTTTTATGAGATATGAAACCAAATCGAAACCAAACCATTCAATTTTAATTTGGTTTGATTTTAGTTCCATTATTGATTTTCAGAGAGAGGGAGAGGGGGGGAGAGAGAATATTTGAGGAAGAAAAATTGAAGGTTGAGACTTCAATTTCAGAAATCCATGCGATGGTGGTGGCTGAGCAAGATAACAAAGGGTAATTGTTGGTCTCCATCTGAGAATCAGTGTATAAATTGAAAATAAAAGAAAATGAGAATTGAATTAGGGTCTGGGTCTCCAAAATGAATTATGGTCTCCAGAATGAGAATTCAAAAGTATATGATCTTTTTGTCCCTTTTTGCAATTGAATTTTGAATTTTTTGTGTGAATTTTGATTCATTAATTGGAAAAATATGTACATATATATATAAATAATAAAATTTAAATATTGAATTTGATTCTTGGTTCTATAACTAGAACTAGAACCGAACCAAAACTAAATAGTTTTCAGTTCTAAGAACAATAACCATTAATTTTATATTTTTATAGAATCGAATGGAACCGAATCGTCCAATTTGGTTTGGTGGAATCATTTTGTCTACCTCTCGACTTGATTATTGTTGGATTGTAAGTGGACAGTAGGGCATGGATCGAATTAAGCCCACCCTTGCCATTGCCATTTTTTGTTGTGCTTATTTTTGTTTTTGGTGATTGATCAGTATTTTTTGTCACTTTTGCAAGTGATGATTGAGCTGGAAGAACTCCAATTAAAGCCTTGAAAATCTAGGCTAAGAAGGTTTGGGTTCAAACAGAGACAACCCGCCAAACCACTCATTATCAACATCATAAGAAATTGTAAAGCTTCGTTTAGAACCAAAAGATTAGCGCACATCGAGATCGACAAATTTGACAAATTGATGCAACATCTATAATCGACAAGTACGAGAAAAGATGAAGGTCCCATTAAAGTGCCCAACTCGACAATGTGTGACATTATCATACTAGTCTTCTCAAGGCATGGCCGACAACGAATAATTGAAACTTTAGTCATAAAATAGTCAAGTGCGAGTCACACAAATCAAGCGAGTTCGGAACAATTTATACTCGTAGGCCAAGAACAAGTGGATATATGGGTAGGGCATGTCATGTTAATTTTATCCACAGGTTTGCAGATTTTATGTTACAAGAAATCCTTGTTGCGACGTGGCTTCCCCTTGACCATAGCCAGTGCTTCAGAAAGTCCCAATCTGTGTGACATTTCTAAGAGAAATTTCAGTATTTTTCAGAAATGGCATCCATATCCATAGCTCCTCTTCAGACTCTTTTCTCTAAAAATTTTGCCAGGCAATACCCATTGACCTTGAAAGCTTCGCCGTGGGATGGGAATCTGAAAAATAAAGAAAGAAGACACTTGCAAGTGGTTGCCGCCGTTGGTGACGTTTCCGCCGACGGAACTACCTATCTGATAGCCGGCGCCGCCGCTGTGGCACTGCTTGGAACGGCTTTCCCTTTACTCTTCTCTCGCAAGGATACGTGAGAAAGTTCATTTTTTTTAGCATTTTCTTTTTCCTTTTAATTAGCATTACTGATCCAAATTGGTGGCAAATAATTTCAGGTGCCCAGAATGTGATGGAGCAGGATTTGTGAGGAAAGCAGGGTCAACCTTGAGAGCAAATGCAGCCCGGAAAGATCAGGCACAGATTGTATGTGCTCGTTGCAATGGTCTTGGGAAGCTTAACCAAATCGACAAATAGAAGAATTATTCTCTTAGCCAACTTGGGATATGTATGAATTACCACTATTTTTGAAGCTTGTAATGCATTTACAGTGCTATCTAATTTGTTGCCAATGACGATTTCTGTTTAACATGCTTTGAAATTATGGACAAAATATTTTGCCTGTTTATAAATATGAGGAGAAAATAAATATTTTTATGTTCTACTAAGAATTGTTTTGGTCGAAATCATTATCGAGGACAAGATGTGATAATTAATGAAAAGTTAAGGATAAAAATGTGATGAAAAAGTTAACGACATAAATATTACTCAATCGTTTATATAGGCTGATTTTGTTTTTTCCACACGAATTAAGAAATTTCAATTAATGTTATTGAAAAAATAAATTTTATAAAGAATTTTCCTAAATTACTCGTTTAATTATCAAAAAGTAATAGTAGTATTTAAAAATAACAGCGAGAAATACTATGAACCACTTAAACTCCACTCCATTCGAGAACCGTGTATATGCATTTCGATGATTCCAAATGGTAGGTAAATTAAAATCCGTACGATTTTCAAAATTAAGTCTATATAAATATTTTCTCAATAAAAAAAAAGAACTATAAAAATGAGACAAAAAAAAATAAAAATTAAGTCTATATAAATGGGACGGATGAAGTACTATAAGCAAATATTGAAGTCAAGACGTGGTGCGGGAAATAAAATTTCTTGTACAATCAATTATTCCCAAATTATAGAGTAAAATGTAATTATACAATAATTAGTAGACATTGGTCAATTTGGATGCATTGTAAAGGGACTAAAATGCTAACAATAGAAAAAATATATACATAATTCATCCTCAATTTATTGCTTCAAAAGTTCAGCTCCAAGTTTTAAGAAAGAGCAAGTGAGTCCCCAACCTTTCTATCATAGTTAATATCAGTCTTCAACAAGAAAGTCGTCTAAATTTTTATTAAATTGTTGCACAATCCTCACAAAATCCAACTCTATGAACTTATGTGTTGCTTCTCAACTTTAGTTATAATGGTCCAATTAATTACGGACTAAACAAAAACTAAATTATAATTTCTATTTATTCAACTAAAATGTAAAATACATTAAATTCCACATTTTCTACTTTTTAACAAAATTACAGTTGGGAGAGCACTAAACTCCAATACAAATTATAGGGTCAAAAATATTGTCAAGTTTTATTTTGTTATGAAACTTTATTAAAATTTATGATTACTCTATTTAAATTTTGCTGCTATTTGATTGTTATACATAGTCGATAGGTACAAGATATTAACAATGTTTTTATCCTAATTATCAANTTTTTTTTTTTTTTTTAAGGTTTAGAACATGTATAGTTAAAAAAATTAAAAAAATAAAGCTCGGAGCAAAAGCTCGGTTCAACCCACGAGTAACGAGCTGAGCAGAAGCTCGGCTCGTGCATATACGGGCCGAACCGAGTCATTGCCGCCGCTACCCTTATGAAGGTCGACTAGGATGATGAGCACAACTAATATAGCGCACTCAATTTCGAGACCTGTTGATTCACTACTCTGAAGGTTCAAATAATCTTCTATCATAGCACTACGAGGTCTAACAAAATATATTCGTGCCAATTTACGTGAACGAAATTTTGGATTTTTAACTTAAAAAAAAAAAAAGACTTTTAGCTAGTAATGCTTGATTCGATCAAGTGTTCATGGCACGAATAGGTGGAAAATATTGGAAACATATTTTAATCCTCTTCTTGTACCGACAAAAAACTCCAAGATTAACTGTCAACCATCAAAATATGTAAGCTACCCGTCTACGTGTAAATATTTGGGCACCACTGGGATTCTACTTATTTTCCATCACAAAATCACTTATTTTTGCGTCTTTGAGTTCTTTCATGACTCTATTATCGTAAGGAATAATTAGATGTTGTTTCCATTTAGGTACCTAAGATGATCGAATTTCTACAATCATATTTATATTCGAAAAAAGAATTCTCTCCCAACTATTCAGGTGGTGGTGGTGTGTTCTCCGGTAGTTTTGTAAGAAATTAGACGAGAAAAATTTGAAATTCACGGTTGAATGCAAGAATGAAGCTGGAAGAAGACATATGGCCAGATCGCAGAATTGAAATCGAAACAGATGATGAAGAAAATGAGGCAGAAATTGCTTGTCAAAACGGCGAGGACGATACAGGATCTGATGTCGAAAGTCCCTCTCGAGATCATTCGAATCCATGCATTGATTGTCCTTCACCTTCTTGGCCTCAAAGCTATAGGTATATAGTCCCAAAATTTCACGTTTCTTCGAAAAATTTATCAACCATATGTTACGTTGCATGATTGAAATTGCACGACGTATTCACTGATTACATTTTATTTTATTTTACGGTAATTTGCTTTTCAATTCATGATCTTGAGGGTATATATGCAAAATAAAACAATTATTGCACAAATTTCTACTTTCCTTAATAAGAATTTTTTATTGTTTTGGTTGTATTCTTGTTTTCGATAATTCCGTTAATCATTCTTGTCTTGTTTAAATTTGCAAATTATCTTAATTAGTTGGCTGATTACTTGGGGATGAATATCAATACCTTAAAAAGTGAACTCATTCTTTAATACTGTAAAAGCCAATTACAATGAACAACGTGAGTCATTTGCCTTGAGGGCTGTGTAAAAAACCCGCCTAACTAACGAATCGACTCGACCCAAATCAACTCACAAGTGTCATGCGTTTATACTTTTTATGGTTTGATGTGTGCTTGTTGGATGACAGTAATATTTCACTTTGTTTGCTTGATTTGTGCCTGATGGATAACGGGAATGGATTTTTTTGATTTGTGCCTGATGGATAACGGGAATGGATTTTTTTTTGGTTAGTGTGTTTGATGATTTTTTTACTGTTGGTTGTGCTTGATGACTAATATGGAGTTTAGTATTTTGGGTAAATATCAAGTTTGTTGTGCAAGTCTCGAGTTTGAAGTTACGTAATCGAGGAAACTCGAGATTTGCACAACCAACTCGATATTTGATGCTATTGAGCTTGTTGTGCAAATCTCATAGGCAAATATCGAGTTTGTTGTAAACTCGAGATTGCATGCCAGCATACTCGACTTTTGCATAGCAAAATATGAGATTTTTTACACAGTAAACTCTAGAATTTTCATAGTAAATTTGAGATTTGACCTGCTAATTTGCCAAATTCGCCAGATAGCTACAAAATCCTATATTTGTTTTCATAATTATTGTGGCTGGCCTAAGACCAAACCCATAATACAACCCAACCGATCCAAATTGAATAGGTTTGGGTTGGTTTGGTTTTTGCGGCAGGATTGGTAGGTTTGGGCATCAATTCACTAAACTAACTCGAACTTTTGGTGTCCGTGTGTAACCCTTTTAAGAATAGGGAATTGTTCACAGAACAATTATAGCGCAGCACTTGTATGGGTGATTTTTTATTTCTTTTTTCTAACTGTCCAATCACTGACCAACATGTGTATTCTGTAAAAAAAAAATCTGTTAAAGTCTTCTTTACGTGTAGCGTGATTCCCCTTTTAAATTGAAATGCCCAGGAAGTCATTGGACATGTTCACAGGTGTTACACCACCCTCAGTTAGCTTCTTAAGAAGCAGCTCCCTCTTGAGTTCATCAGGCAAAAGACAGCAGGCATCAGCAACAGAATCTTCCTTGAGTAGACCCCTTATATCTGCAACAAGCTTAGACAAAGATATTCCCACCTCAACACTTCCTATAAAATTATCAGCCACTTCGGAATCAGGGTTGTCTGTTAGCGAACTGCCACCATCTCAACAATGCTCATATTCTCAGTCAGTTCTTAATGGTAATTTACCTTCCTTTCAAATTGTGTGATTTGTAAAGCCAATTTGGAATAGAACGTAGTTCAGAATATTGGTTTATTGGGAAAATAAGAGGGTTAAACTTCTTGTAATCGAGTAAGATTTCCATTTGCCGGAATATCTATTTCTCTGATCCATCATCATCTTTCAAATGCAGCATTAAATGCTCTATGTGGCATTGGAATCCTTTCGACTCCATATGCACTCAAAGAAGGAGGGTGGTTTAGTCTCATGCTTCTCTTTCTTTTTGGAATCATTACATGCTACACTGGAATCTTATTGAAACGATGTTTAGACAGTTCCCCTCAACTTCAAACTTATCCAGATATCGGACAGGCTGCTTTTGGTTTAGCTGGTCGAATATGCATTGCTGTAAGTTAGATTCAAAGTAGCCACCTTAATTGTCCTACTTATTTATTTTCACTTCTTTTTGGAGAGAATATGCTCAGAAATTAACACATTGGCCTTGTTGTATTGCAGACAATCCTCTATGTTGAATTATATGTAAGTGCACTTCTCTTTTGATTCTAGATTCTGATTAGTTTAGTTTTCCTCTTTTGGTCGGGACTAAGAAGTGCAAGATATTCTCTGTAGTCTTCGTGCGTGGAATACTTGATAATGATGAGTGACAATTTGTCGGCTTTTTTCCCAAATGCTCAAATGGAAATTGCTGGACTACATCTTAGCTCGTATCAACTCTGTGCCATTATTTCCACCCTTGTTATTCTTCCAACAGTTTGGCTCAGAAATCTCAGTTTGCTATCATATGTTTCAGGTACCAACTGTTTTTCTTTTACTTTTTTATGTATGATGATTAAGAAGCCATGATTTGTTCTAATGTTTGTGTACTATTTTTAGTGGGCGGAATAGTTACTTTGGTGGTTGTAGTGCTCTGCTTGTTATGGGTTGGGATTTCCGGTGACGTTGGATTCCATCCAAATGGAAAAGCACTAAATTTTGCCAATCTGCCAGTTACAATTGGCCTGTATAGTTTCTGCTATGGTAGCCATTCAGTATTCCCAAATATCTATTCCTCCATGAAGGAACCTTCAAGATTTAATTCTGTATTACTTATCAGGTGATTTTTCATTGATTTCTGTTGGAAATTTGTGTAATTGTTATCATGAAAATTCAATTATTGACTTATTTTCAAATACAGCTTTGTTGTGGCTGCCTTTACGTACACTGGTGTAGCGATATGTGGCTTTTCAATGTTTGGGGAAGTCATCAAACCTCAGTTCACATTAAATTTACCCACGAAAGTTGCCGCCTCTGAAATTGCTAGATGGAGTGTGGTAAGAAGGGAATGCGCTTGCTTGAGCCAGCAATCTCCTTATTTACTTCGTATTTCATTTCATAGTATTATCTGTTGTTTCAGGTTGCAGCCCCAGTTACAAAGTTTGCCTTGACGATTACCCCTGTAGCATTATCGCTAGAAGAACTCTTACCTTCGGGTCAGAATAGATCTCATGGTGTATCAATACTCATCAGAACAGTGTTGGTTATTTCAGTACTAACCGTGGCAATGGCAGTTCCATATTTTGGTAAGCATTTCAACGATATATAATCTTATAGTTTTTCTAGACTCAGTCTTCAAAAGGGAAATGCACATTTTTCCCAAGATTTTTCATTGAAAATTTAAATGCAGGATCTGTAACGGCCTTGATTGGATCCTTACTCGTGATGCTTGTGGTGAGATATCTTCGTCCATATTTATCTCAGTCCAATTTTTTCCATTTCATAGTAAATACATATACGATATTGATTTATTTTGGTCGTTGATAAACAGTCTCTGATCTTGCCATGCGCTTGCTATATGAGAATACACAGAGATAGACTAACAGAAATTCAGGTAAATTTTCTTCTCTCCTTTCGCTGTTCTTTTCCTGAAATCTCAGAAAATATGAACTTGGCTAATTTCAATTTTTCTCTTAACTAGATTGCAGCCTGCACATTCATAATAGTTTTTGGATTATTTTGTGCTGTCATTGGCACGTATTCAGCTGTCACAAGTATGGCTATCTAATAGGCCAGCATGGAGAGACAAACTTCTGCCGAGAACACTGTTTCTTTAACAAAAGCAGAAACTGGCACTAACAAGTGAAGAAATTATTCACCTATTATCGAAGATCAAAATGGAGATTCGACAGAAAGCTGTTAATGGAAATGTACAAAATTCTTAGGCAGAAGGGGCACAAACAATGAGATTGTATAATAATGATGCATGTAAGCAATTAGTATAACGTAGATTTGACGTTCTGATGAGTTCAAAAATACTATCTATAACATTCTCTGTTGTTTCTTGTGCCAAGCATTGAGTGATGATAAGATACTGCATAAATGTTAAAACCCAGATGCTTGTGTTCTGCAAAAATGAATAATAAAATCGAAAAGAAGAACAATAAAATCAACAAACAAGAATTTAAATCATTCCACAATGTGCCCAAGTCCACTATACGATGCCAATAAATCCACTCATTTCAAATATGGTTATTACAGGTTGTTTATATAGAGCTTTAATCTCAAAATTACCCTTACAATACAGTACTAGCACGTTCCCTCTGCTCCATCAACTAGCCCCTAATATACAGACGTATGAGCCACCTAATCAATATCGTGTTTATACGAGAACTTGAAATCACATTGATCAAAATTTCGTTTTCTCGTAAACTTAATTTTCGTCAAATGATCAATCAATGATCATTAATAGTCATTTAAAGAACTATAATTGTACAATTTATGTTAATTATAAACTATTTGGTATTAGATAAATGAAAACATAGAACTAGCTAGACATAGATGTATGTTGTTTTGACATTATAGTAATAGTATAACTTCTAATATTTATATGCAAGCACGATAAATTCATTAAAAACGTGAAAGATTATAAGAATTTCTTATAAACCTATGCACGAGGAGAAGATGTGGTGGCTTATTCTTGTCGTTGCACAAGATGAACCCGCTATTGGTAGTAGCGATTTGGAACATACAAGTAGAAGGGAGTTTTTTTTTTTTATCAAGTTTTTGGACAAAAGTGGAATATTTTTAAATTATCCCTATGTAGAATTATAACATAAGTCTCTTGGAGAAAGCAACAAATGGGAAACAAATTTTCTCGTTGCTTGAGAAAGTGTCTTAAATTGGTGAACTGGTTTCTTCAATATTCGGAGACCTAAATAGTGAAAACGCCATAGCCACCAACTTGAAATCCTCCCGTCTGTCTCCTTATCGTGTCGTTTCAGAAATATTAATTGCATATATGCTCTAAATCAGGTCATTTTCAGCACAAATTCTTCATGGCCAGCTCTTGTTTTGATTTGCTTTATCATCAAGCCTAACACTTGGAAGCTTCTAAAGTGAAAATGACCTGATTCTGCTACGTCGAATGAATGCAAATCAAGATATCACAGCTAGAATAATGTATATAAATAGATCCAATCCATAGTTATCTTTCATTTAAGATTTAACATGTATGATTAGGGTTTAAAAAGGGGTTGGCTTGGCCCTTAGACACCTCGTACAAAAATTAAACAAAAAAAAATTACACGTACAGATTTATAGTGGGTTTCGTCCACCTTCATGATACAAGTACGGAGTTTTTTGCATTGGGAAATAATGTCTGGCTTGTCTATTGTGTGCCATTCACTCCAACGCGGCGAAAATTATGTAAATTGGAGTGAAGAGGTAAAGTTCGAGCTTATGCCTATCGCACACTAAAAAATTCAATCTTAAAA